CACTAATAATTGTACATTCATAAAAATTATCCTGCATGCTGGGTACAGCTCACAACAAGAAGTAACTCTGTTGCTACGTGAAACGAGCGATACAGGAGGGCCACCGAGAGAGCAGAGATGCATGTTGGCCAGCAAGCGGCGAACAGCTGTTCGGATTGTCCTTTTTCAGGGTCAAAGAATTAACGTGTTTACTTGAACAAGCAATACCGTCACATACCGGGATACCGTCAGAATCTTTCTAAATACTGTGATATGTTTTTTTTAATGGATTTTTGGCCATACCACCCAGCCACTGCAAAAAGAAAGACACAGATTGTCTTTCTTTTTGCAAACATGGGGATACTAGTCTTTGGTACTGTGCAGCAAAAGGATTTGGCACTCAATGAACCGAAAGTCAGCTTGTAAATTGTATAAAATGTAGACACACCTATATGTTCAGTTATTTATTTCGTTCTACATTTTGACAAGCTAGGAGTGTTAATGTTAATGTTAATCAAATGGTTATTCAATGTTATTCCTTTTTCAATTTAAGACTGTATTCGTTTAACGTGCAATAATAAGTACAATGTTCACCCATGCCTCAAGTCCAACAACTGCTTTTGATAAATAAATTACATACTTGGGACTGGAAAATGTGCTCAATTACTATTATATTCAATTGTGCCTAATGTGGTTTATTAGCATCAAATCCAATTGTTAAAACTAAAACTTTAACATTCTTTTGCTGACTTTATCAAGGGGAGCGAAAACATTAAGCAATATGTGTCATTCCGTCACCAGACAACCAGACAACTCACTACAGTGAGTGATAGCTAGTTAAGTATGTTAGACGGCATCCATGAGAAATGTGTCCCCTCTCCTCATAAGTTACTTCCATTTTGTGGTTTAAAGCTAATCCTCTATTTGGGTCAAATACAATTACTTGAATTTAAATACTATTTCTAATAACATTGTCCTGCTTATTTATAGATCTTTGTATGCAAATCATCAGTTTTGTAACTCTAAACATATCTTCACTGAGTAATAAATGCTGCATGAAGAGACCATGATCTCAGGCTGAATATAATTGTTTTTTTATTTAGATCACTGGGGATTTTCAGTGACCATATATACATCTGTTTGTGTATAGGATGCAAAATTCTGCCTGGACATCAGTCTCTTTAGGGATTTGAACCCTTCAGTTGTAGCAGAGCAGTGGTGATGTAATCTCAGTTCTCAGTGGAGTCCAGCTGTGCCAGAATAATACTTCAGCAGGCAGTTGCACAACTGAAGCTGGAGGGTCAGCGGTAAAGCTGTCAGCTTTTTTTTTTATGTGGCATGAAATGTGTGGAGCAGCCAGTCGGGCTACAAGGATTTAGCACGTCTTAAAACCCTGTGGTATTACCTCTTTACTGGATTAGATTTCACTGGCTACTCAATTCAAAAGGGAGAGGACAGGAAGTTCATAGAAGCTTCCTGTAGAGACCTATTGGGGAGGCATCCTCAGGAATCAGGAAACCGTTATTGCCATGTTATGTCAAACATACAAGGAATTTGATTTGGCACTTGGTGGGTAACAGCAGACAGTACGACAATGAACGACAAGACAACAGTGCACGAGGAATAAAATAAAATATAATGCTATGGGTTAGTAATATAAGGCTATGGGTTAGTTTAAAAATAAAGGAAAACAATTTCAAAATATTTAGAAATTAAAAATAAAAGTGCACCAGCGAACAGAAAGTGACAAGGGAAAGTGACGTGTGCAGTAAGAAATAAAGTGACCGGTGGGAGTCAGTCAGTGGGGGACCGGCTCTGTTGATGAGCCCGACTGCCGACGGGAAGAAACTGTTGGTGTGGCAGGAGGTCTTAGTCCTGATGGACCTCAGCCTCCTGCCAGATGGAAGGGGCACAAACAAGTTTTTGTCCGGTATGAGAGGGGTTGGCTACCATCTTTTTAGCTCGCTTCAGAGACCTGGAAGCGAACAAGTCCTGCAGGGACTGCAGCCGATCACCCTCTCTGCAGAGCGGATGACACGCTGCAGCCTGCCCTTGTCCTTGGCTGTGGCTGCAGCGTACCAGAAGGTGATGGAGGAGCAGAGGATGGACTCCATGATGGCCGTGTAGAAGTGGACCATCATCGTCTTTGGCAGGTTGAATTTCTTCAGCTGCCTCAGGAAGAACAACCTCTGCTGAGCCTTCTTGGTGATGGAGCTGATGTTCAGCTCCCACTTGATGTCCTGGGTGATGATGGAGCCCAGGAAACGGAAGGAGTCCACAATAGTGATGGGGGAGTCACACAGGGTGATGGGGGAGGGTGGGCCTCTGTTCTTCCGGAAATCCACAACCATCTCCACTGTCTTTAGAGCGTTGAGCTCCAGGTTGTTCTGGCTGCACCACGATACCAGATGGTCAGACTCCACCTGTAGGCGGACTCGTCCTCACCAGAGATCAGTCCAATGAGGGTGGTGTCATCCGCAAACATCAGGAGCTTGACGGACTAGTGACTGGAGGTGCAGCTGTTTGTGAACAGGGAGAAGAGCAGAGGGGAAAGAACGCAGCTTTGGGGGGAACCGGTGCTGATGGTCCGGGACGCTGAGACATGTTTCCCAGCTTCACGTGCTGCTCCATTCTGGATGAGCTGCAGAGGTTGAATGGCGGTAGCGGGGAGACCTGCCAAGAGAGAGTTACGATAATCCAGGCGGGAGATGACAAGAGCCTGAATCAGTACCTGCGCTGCCTTCTGAGTGAGAAGAGGACGTGTTCTCCTGATGTTGTAGAGCGTGTATCTACAGGATCGTGTTGTCAGTGATGTTGGGAGTCAGGGAGAGTTGGCTGGCTGTCACGCGGCGGGGTGGTAGGAAGCAGGACCCAAACGCAGAGTTCCAAACAAAAAAACTACTTTAATAAATGAAAATCAAAATGCCTAGACAGGACGGGGACCAGGAATCTACAAAACATGGGAACGAGATCCAGGGTAGAACATTAAGTAAGACATACAATGACGCGACCAGGGACAAGAGACACACATTGCTTAAAATACACTGGGAAGGTGCAGGTGAAAACAATCACAGGACAACGCAGGAAGTGAAGCTAACCCAAGAAGTATGAAACTAGAAAATAAAACAGGAAATAAACCCAAACCATGTCACATCGAGGTTCCTGGCAGTCAAAGTGGGCGTTAACACAGAGTTGCCAAAGTTAACAGTGAGGTCCTGTATAGGACAATGTTTTCCGGAAAGAGAAGACGTTCAGTCTTATCAGGGTTGATTTTCAGATGGTGAGAGGACATCCTCTGAGAGATGTCAGTCAGACAGGCAGAGATCCGTGCTGCCACCTGAGTTGGTTAGAGATAGCATGTTCAAGAGTTTTGAACAAAAAGGGAAGAAAATGAAGAAGAAAATATCCAAGAGTGAGGAACTAATGAGGGCGAGTAGCAGGTAAGGGATGTGAGTGCTGATTAGGGTGAGAGGCTGGATCAGAAATAACGAGAGTGTTGGTGGACGGGGCCCCGTCGAACAATTACTCATTTAACTTGTCTGCAATATTTTGCCATGCTTCTTGTCTAACCCTCGCAGCGCTACTCAATTCATTTAATTTTATTTTGTGTCGTATACAAAAATGAAGAAACTCCAGACGAGCAAAGGTCATTTTGGATCAAAAGGTTAAAATCAATAGTATTTAACAAAAAGTGAACATCCGCCTTGTTTCTGCAATCTACAGTCCACAGTGTAGTTCAATGGCTACCACATAACGACAACAACAAATCCAAAACAAAGGGTGCATATATATACATATACAGATATACAGGTATTTATACAGATCAGAGAAGGCTGGGGAAGCAGTTTCCACGCCCCTAGGCACGTGACGTCACCTGGTGCGTTCAAGGTGAGCTTTTGACAGAATGTGGTGTGCAATGAGGTATTACACTGGATGGTTCAATTTAATTTAGGTTTCTAATGTGTCTCGGTCAATGTAAGTGGTGGTATCAAGTATTACATGCACGCATTGTTGTTGATTACATAGTTTCAGAATCATGGCTGTACACTAGTATTCCAATGCATTTTATTAATTGGTCTAATTTATGAATCGACTTAGTTGAAGTCGATCAAATGTACACTGCACGTTGGGCCTAACAACACCCCCGAACCCGAAGTTAGTTTATAATCACACAACAAAACATCACGCCAGGCAATCTCAGTTTCTTTGTATATTTATTCTTTAACGTTACTGACTTAGAAAGTGATATTTCAGGTTCATAACTTGTCTACCTGAGCTCACTTTGATCCATTTCGGTTCATAATATGTATATAAGTATAAACTATGTATATATAACCGTCTCAGCCTTTGTCAGCCACAAAGTGTGAAAGATAAGTCATTAAAGTGACTTTTCACTAATAACTATGGGCGGATGTGGGCAGACGAGCTGCCGTTTACTGCGCAGCGGCTCCCGGTAACGTGAGCTGGTCTTTGTGTATTTGTTATAAATGTGTGTTGATGTCCATAAGAACGGTACATGAACCCAGGAGGGGTTCAGGTGAGAGTCTGAGTCAGGGGCTGTTTGAGGGGTTAGGGGGGGGGGGTGTAACTGGGGCGACGGTGGCCATGGAGTAGAGAGGGGGCACTGGGCCCTGTAAGGTCCGTGGTTCAAACCCAGGCTGCTCCATGTCCCATGTTGAAGTGTCCCAGAGCAAGACACCTAACTCCTAATTCCTCCCCAAGCAAAATGTAAAAAACATAATTTAAGAAAACAAGCAATGTAAGTCACTTTGGATAAAAGCATCAGCTAAATGACATGTGATTTAATATAATTATTATAGCGTATCTGTATTTAAATCAGTTACCAACGTAACTTAAGCGATTTCAACTAACAGAACTTAATGAAAAGTATGCAATCATACCGTTTGTTTGTAAAAGAGTTGTATAGTGACACAAATGTAAATGTAAATCAGCGTTTACACTTCCTGTCACTGTTACGTGTCGTCACGTGGTGACGCAATGACGCTCTTGGTTACGTTAACGTATTACCTCACCAGTTACGAGTAAAGACAGCGCAAGGTCGTCGGAGCAGCAGTCGCCGCAAACATGATGTCCCTTGCTGCCCGGTCAGGGGCATTTTCCCCTTACATGCAGGCCACAGCTGTCGCGGTCGCCGGTCCCCTGAAGGCGCTGGTGCCCGGGGTCGTTGTGAAGGGAGAGAAGATTTTGTTGGACCCAAAGAAACCGTTCCTCTGCCGCGAAACGCTCAGCGGCCAAAGCCCGAAGACGGGGCCTGCTGTTACTGTTCGCCTTAATGGTAAGTCTGCTGTTAGCTGTGTGTGTTCGCTCAGTTAACTGGATGTTACCGTAGTTTTTACTTGTGTATTGGAAGTTGACGTCTCGTGGAATATGCTCTGGGATACAGTTGTCACTGTGAAATACAACCGAGGGAGTTGTCAACTTCGTTAGCTTAGCTAACGTTAGCTGCAAGTTGTTGGCTAGCATCTCGTTAGCCCCGGTCCGGACAAACCGTTCGCCCCACCACTAGCCGTCTCTGGAAAAATGGGTTCTCGATTTATTTCGATACATATGTCGCACTACTGTTTAGCGTTGCCGTGCCTCCTGAATATCGCCATGTTTCTATAATATCAGAGGAAGGTGCCTTCAGATTTAGCGACCCGCCGGTCATATCAAAGGAAGGTGGCGGCAGATCTTGCGACCTGCCAATCGGATGACGGGAACATGGCGATATATTCAGAGGCACGACACGCTGGTGCAACGTGAATCATTCCGAGCCCTCTGCAGGCTCAATGTCCTTCCATATGTCCCGCTCACCCGTTAACTAGTCACATTCTTATTGTGGTAAATCTGTGGGTCGCACACTTATTTTGATCGGTTGTGATGTGGTTCAAGTGTTTGATCTGATGAATGATCCACACTTAATGGATCTTCAGTCCAAATCTAGATGCTGCTGATTAAATCAAGATTGAATACCATGTTAACATCACCTACACGTGTGGCGACTGTCCAACGTTTGAGCTTTTTGCCAACCCGGCTAGAAGTATCTGCACTGCATTAACATGACAACTACCTCAACTTTGAGTTCATGAGTCACTCTCTTATCAACAATAAGGCAACCTCTCTAGCAGCAAACCTTTCCAATCCGCTCTGCCCAGTGTCGCTTGAACACCATCACACAATTAAAAGCTTTCCACTCCATTGCCAGGCAGAGATCTCCACAAACGTCGGTTTGCTGGTCGAGGGGAACAAAGTTGTGGAGGAAAATACGGGACAAATGTGTCCTTGATGAAAAGCAGCAGTGTGGATGCACGGGGCAATAAAGTCTATGATACATAAATAAACAAACCAGCGACTTCCACACACAAAGACATGACTCTCTAGGTCGTCTTCAACAAAACACGTTACTCCGCCTGTTGTTCTGGAGGTGAATCGCTCTGCAACACACGCAAGACTTTAGAACTATGAAGTGAAACGAGTGCGTCGACACGACGGTGCGTAAACACGCAGACTCATGTGCCAGCCTTTAAATTGCGATTGTTTCAGAAAGACAAAGTCAATTGCCAAATACAATATTTGAAGTATATTTAAAGTAAATTGCAAATAAATCCAGCTATTTTAATGAAAGTTTCCAAAATCTCAGCTGACTAAACTGGCAAGTGTCTGTATTCTAACTGGTGGCTCGTCCGTTCTTGTCTGCAGGCTGTGCAGGAGTTCGATTTGCCCACACAGATGTCAGAGTACCAGACTTCTCTGACTACAGGCGCCCAGAAGTGCTTGACCCCAACAAGTCTTCCCAGGAGAGCAGTGAATCCAGGAGGACCTTCTCGTACCTGGTCACCGGTGCCACAACCGTGGTGGGAGTCTACGCTGCCAAGACGGTGGTCACTCAGTTTGTTTCTTCCATGAGTGCCTCTGCTGACGTCCTGGCCCTGTCCAAGATCGAAGTCAAGCTTAGCGATATCCCTGAAGGCAAGAACATGACCTTCAAGTGGAGGGGCAAACCTCTGTTCGTCCGTCATCGCACAGAGAAAGAGATTGCCACAGAAGCCGGCGTGAACCTGGCAGAGCTGCGAGATCCTCAACACGACAAGGACAGGGTCCTCAAGCCCAGCTGGGTCATCGTCCTCGGGGTGTGCACACATCTGGGCTGTGTGCCCATCGCAAATGCAGGCGACTATGGCGGTTACTACTGCCCCTGTCACGGCTCTCACTATGACGCGTCGGGCCGCATTAGGAAAGGCCCCGCCCCTCTCAACCTAGAGGTTCCCTTTTACGAGTTTGTAGATGATGACACTGTGGTTGTTGGATAAAGCCCACACCTCAGAATGAGCTCTCATTGTACAACAGTGTTCATTGTTTCTAAATCTGACAGATGTTGGTAGTCCTCGCATCACTTTACATAATGCTGTTTTAAAATGAGAATCATTCAGAATACGGCCTCTGCATTAAATAGGTAAACCCTGGGAAGGTCCCATCCTTCTTTTCCAACATGGAAAAAAAACACCTAATTTTAAATCCTAGTTTATCTAATTTGCAAAGAACAAATGTCCTGTTCAGCTGTGGTCAATAAAGATTTATATTTTATTTGAAAACCTACATGCAGTGTTTAGCCTTTTTCTTTAATGGAAGTCACTTTTGCCATTTTTAAATTTTACATGTCATTTAGCTGACTTACAATAAGTGCATTTCAACCATAAGGATACAAACCCAGAAGAACAAGAAACAAAGTGCAATTTCCTAAAATAAGCCGATTTACATCCCACATTATATATTAATATTCACGTTGTGATGACATTCGTTAAGTTAAGTAAAACAGGTCAGTCGTTACTTTTCCGGATTTAGATTACTACAACATGGAAACCAATTATCAAAGTTAAACTATCCAAAAATATAAACAGTTAATGAAATGAGTTTCATATTGACTATCGGCAGTATTCAAGTAATGGACACGTGACTGCATCCCAAAAAGGAGTATATCCCAAATTTTTGTGAAAATAATTCTGCATAAGGAGTAGTTTACTTTAGGTTTGTGAATGCATAACTTTCACTTGTAACAGCAACGTGTGGTTGTGGTTTTGCTGCTTTACTGTAGCTATGTCTCATTTCATCAGCATTCATGCGCCACTTCTCAACTGGCCAGCCAGCGTTTCTGAGATTGGAGTGAGACCAGCAGAAAAGCTGATGTGATCTTCGCAATAAAGCATCTTTGTTGTGATATACAGTCTTTATTTCCCCACCAACTTTTCATCCTTTCGCGCCACTAATTGAGGAATGTTTTCAACTCATTTATTTCATGAAAAGATGGTGCAGTATGAACCTGAGATTGGGCAGGTCATCTCAATATGCAGTATTTCTCTGTTTAGTCGTCAGCTGAACCAGAGCTGGGAAGCCTCACTCACAGAGGGGTGGTGCTGAATCAAAGGAGGCTTTTTACTGCTCTCGCTCATCACGATGCTGCACCAGAACTGGAAGAGGCTTACTTTACTTTAACATTAGCATCCGTTAGAAAATTTGTATTCAACACTTTTGTGAAAATCATTGAACAGAACATTTATTTAATACAGCATGGAGCAGAGTTGAAACATGATGAAGTCATGCGTCAAGGCTACTCAAAGCTTTCCTTCTACAGCTTCGAGTTATATAGTCCAAGGTGACAAACATTTGTTCCGCTCCATTTGTTTACCTCCACTTCAACGAGACGGTGAGATGGCATTGTCATTCATGATTAAGGAGGTAGAGAATACTTATTTTAAACCTAGGCAATACAACTTTACATGATGAGTTCCATAGAAGAAATATCCAGATCCTGCTTCACAAATCCTCCTGAACTAATGGATTACCCCCTGCAGGGTACGAAAACAGGCCGTTGTTTGAATCGTTCCAATAGCATCCATTCAAAAATAGTTATTTCATAAATAGTGAATATAGTAAGTGTAAATTCCTAATCTGAATAGTCTATTGAATATAATAATTCAATTTCAGGAGCATGCACTCGTGTCAAGGGAACTTGGGTGCCTGATGTCCACCCTGGTCCAAACCCGCTGCCAGGTCCAGCTGGCACAGTCGACCCTGTCTGAGACGTGTGGGAGGACCCTCTATACAGTCCCTGTGGAACCAGAGACTGTACCCCGAAGGCCCTGAACATATTCTATATTCCGTTCAATTGTTAAAATGTGTTATAATTACAATTATAAATAATACATTTTAACCACAAAATGCTGGAGTGATAATATGAGGACGACACGACTCTCCCTTTGATAAATCTATAGCCGTCAATCTAATTGTGAGCCCGAATGGGGCTGAATCGGTATGTCTGTCTGCACAGTTGTGGCTGTAATAAGTAACAGATTTATGAAGCACAGCTGTGATAATCTAAACCGCAACAAAAAAAATGTGAATCTGTTTCTGCCAGTGCATTAGGCCACTGTCTAAAGAAACTCTCTTCAAAAAGAAGTAATGCAGTCGTGACAGGCATGGTTACACTTCCTGTTGACCTTATTATTTAAAAAGACAAATGAACTTTCCATTTCTGTAATTATGTATCTTGTTCATATTGATATTGTATTTTCATCATGATAACTTGATGTTTGAATACAATCAAAAATAAATAATTCAAATTCCCAGAATTGCTTATACGATAACTAACTAACATCATACTGCAAAGGTCAGGGCTACTTAAATTAATTTAAAATATGAGAACATTGCTCAATGAGGCAAGTTCTCACACCAGCCACTTAAAACACAATAAGAGTGCTTACATTGAGACTGTTTTCGGTTGTACAGTGACGTAGTAGCTTATGTTGGCACCAAACATTTTCATGAGGAACAATGGTGTTTCTGCAGGACGACAGTACAGGGGTACTCTGTGGCCTCAGGTGAAACTCACACCTGCCCTAAAAAGCTTTCTGAAAATAGATTTTTCCTATAGGGGTGAAACTGTCACCTCATCTGGCCGGCTTGTACACAGGAACAAGGCTAAGGTGGAGGTGAGGGTGAGTCAGCCTGTTAGTTTTGTCTCTCTGCTCCTGCATGCTCTGTTAGATTCTCTTCAAATCTTTATTCAACTTCAACTTTCAACTTTCAGCTCCTTCAACTGTTCAGCTATTAAAATATTCAGGAGAGGGGTGCTATGACTTTTCAGCTTTCTACCGCTTATGCTGGAATTAATATAAATAAACAATTCATACTATTTTTAACCTTTTTTTTTGCCAAATCATCTTACACTTCAAATCTTTCAATATTTCAGCTACAGACATTATTTAAACTTTGAAACGTTGACAAAACCCTCAATTATTTTTATAAAAGCTTTGATTTCTGTTCAACTTTTTCCAATATCCCTGATTATGTTTCATGAGTTTCAGACGGTTTCTTAGATTTACATTGGTACGTATGTGGCAGGCTAGAGTGCGGACTGAAACGCTTGAGTCTAGTAGTTCAGAGGAGCTTCAGAATCTGGTTAAAAAAAATATTTCCATTTTGTCATTTCCACAATCTTCACTCTTCATTCATTTTTGGATCGAATGATAGGAAATGTGCTGCTGTAGAAATGTGAATATGGAATCCAACAGACTTACACATTTGGCCACGGACTTTGAGCAAGACAAAGTCCATCTCTCGCCCCATTGAGACCAACCTGGGGACAAGTTTTTGAAACTGCCGTTAGTCAAATTCCTGACGTTCAGCAGAGTCTTGGGTCTCCACGATATCCCAATTCTTTAGATTGTAGAATATAGAAATACATTTTTGCACTGTTTCAAGTTTATTTGATATTTTAAAAAAATGTACTTAATATGTTTAGACTGTTAGGGATTTAAACAGAAAAGCACACCTAGCGATGGAAATTATAATGCATGCAGTAATGTTTAGTATTGGAAATATAGTTATTCTTTACATTACAATGTTTGATTCATATTGCAATTATTTTATCTAACACAATTCATAGTCATTTAATTACTCTACACATGATCTCCTGCCACAATGTAACGTTAAAAACCTGGGGGAAGGATCCTTGATGATTTCTCCAAATTTTCTCCCCCAAAAGGTTTTTTTGGGAGTTTCTCCTGTCAGCTGAGCAAAGGATGTAGGACCGTCCTGCGAGGCAAATATTTTATAAACTGAGATAAATATAATGGTTAAATTTGATGATTTAAGATGTTATTATTAAAGTGTACCAGCTATTAGATGATAATACTATGCATGCTGTTTTATGTTGCTTACATTACATGTAATTTAGCTGACGCTAAAGCCACTTACAATAACTGCTTTCAACCATAAGGATAATAACTCAATTTCCTCAAATAAGCCAATTTACAATACATAAGTACAATTTGTTAGTCTTTCAGTCAAGGTAGAGTCTGAAGAGGTGTGTCTTTAGTTTACGGCGGAAGATGTGAAGGCTCTCTGCGGTCCTGATGTCATCAGAGAGCTCGTTCCACCATTTCGGGGCAAGGACAGCGAAGAGTCGAGATCTAGTCGAGTGTTTTGCTCTCAGTGAGGGAGGGACGAGTAGTTTTGCAGATGCAGAGCGGAGAGTGCGGGTTGGGATGTCGGGTTTGACCATGTCCTGGATGTAAGCTGGACCCCATCCATTCACAGCATGGTACGTGAGCACCAATGTCTTTAACTGGATGCGGGCAGACACCGGTAGCCAGTGAAGAGAGCGGAGGAGTGGAGTAGTGTCACTGCATGAAAAGTGGGATTTTCGGCAGTATGCGGCACTGTAAATTGTCGTGGAATTTCAGGTTTGCGGCAATTTGCGGGCAACGCCGAAAACTGCCGTAAATTGTCAGAAATTGACGTGGGCCTTCCTTGGCAGTTGTCCCCCCCATGACCCCCCTCCTCCTAATTCTAGGGGAGGCTTTGACATGTAAATGAAAATGCTGTGAGCTATACAAATGCAAATCAGGGTCGCAGAGGGAGTTTTAGCCCAGGTGACATTTTTTTAAAAGGTAAGAAAATCTCTGGTACAAATAGATCAGGCTCAGTAGCCTAATTATAGACTCTTACATTTTAGCTTGAATTGATTTATTTAATGCAAATATGCTAGATTACTGTGTACGCCATTAGCAATGGCAAATGTTATGTAAAAAAGATACACAAAATAACTTCATTAAAAAATTAGTTTCAATCAAGGTAAAATGAGCATTCCATGCAAACAACATTTGAATCAGAATGAGGGGTCTGCAGAGATCACAGTCTCCTAGAGCTCAACTACAGTGCATAGTGGCAGGACTACAGTGACCTTTTCTTTGGTCTTACTTAAATGCACAGGATGGATGTATTACCCACACATCTTCTAGCAATGCGCTCAACTGGCAGAAATGATGCTGGGTATGACGTATCTGTTCCCTGCAAGCCCCAAACTTCTATTGGCTTTCCATAAAAATGCCTGTCCGGGTGGAGATGAAGCCAGGAAACTTGGGCAACAACATGTTTAAATGACGTACCCTTTGACACAACATTAACAACTATAAACTGCTTTATAATGGCTGGTCGTAGTTCTGCTAGAGCAGGGGTGCTCACACTTTTTCAGCATGGGAGCTACTTTTGAAATGACCAAGTCAAAATAATCTACCCATTATATTTATTGAGAAATA